TTTTCCTTTGTAAGTTAGAAAATCATAGAGAATTAAAATTTAAAAAAAAATAAAAAAACTCTTCCATATTGTGCAGAGAGTTCAAGTGAATTGTTTGAACTCTCCACAGTGTGCGGAGGGTTGGATGCAACCCTCCGCACAGTGCAGAGAGTTCACTTGAACTCTCCGAACTGTACGGAGTTTTTTTTTTAAATTTACTTTTAGCAATTTTTTTAATTTTAGATTCCCTTTTTTTTTTAAGTAGAAATATGAAATTTCTGGTAGAATCTATTAAGTAATAATCAATTTTGTTGAATCCTAGAAGTTAGGTTCCTCTTTGATTTCCTAATTCTATGAAGTTTTTAAATTATGTTGTTTACAAATACCTTCTGGTTATAGATAATATGGATTAATAATAGTGCATTTTTCTCTGTAAGTTAGAAAACCATAGAGAATTAAAAAAATAAAGTCCTCCGCATAGTTTGGATAGTCCAAGTCTCCAACTCTCAAAGGGTTGCTTCCGACCCTCTGCACTGTGCGAAGAGTTCACGGTACTCTCCGGACTGTGTGGAGTAGTGCTTGCTCTGCAATTTTTATTATTATTATTATTTTTTCATCACTACAAATCCATCTCCAAAACCCCCCTCCCTCTCTCCCTCTCTTCATCAGTTCAACTCTTCTCTTCCTATCTCTTTATATATATTATTTCAAATTTTCTTAATCAATTCAAGAATACAATATTGTTATGGCAAGGGCAACAAAAAGCTAGCGAAGAAGCTAATAGAGAAAAATGGTCAAGAAATTTCTCTCCTCCACATTGTCCTATATTCCAACCATGAAATGTAAAAGAACAAGATTGAAGAAAAATCAAATAAAACGATGCTTTTGTTGGGATTTTGACTTTCTTTTGGCGAATCCATTTCATAGTATTTCTGGGATGAATTTAAAGTTTTTGTTAGTTATTTTAAATTTTCGGTATGATATTTCTTGACATTCTGCTCGATTATGTTTTTAATTTGATCGCATATTATTGGCTCATTTTTTTTTGCAAAAATCCTTTGACAGGTGTTTCCCTATATATGTTTGAGTTTCAGATTTTTTGTAATTTGGGTTTTAAATTGAGCTTGGTCATTACATATTATGATTAAAATGTTGCTTCAAAGGGGTGAATGGAGCTAGATAAATGTTTGATGAAATGCTTAAGATAGAAAAGGAGGCTGCTGACCATAATATTTGGCTTTTAAATGTTTGACTTTTAATTGAACAAAATGCAAGAAATGATTTTTCATTTTTTCTCCCTTCTTAACAATAAGATTTTTTCTAAAATTTCTTAGCATTGTAGATGACAATTTGCATGTTAGTTTTAAGGATCCATATGAAGAGCTCTTTGAATTTGGTCGATTTTATCTTCTTAAACATACTAGTCTTTTGTGATGTTTGTTTATAGATTGACTCGTCAAGAAAAATGAAATTGACGGAGAGTAATGAAATGGGCTCAATAATAAGAAAAAGAATGAAATTCGTTCAACTATTGAGAGATGATGAAAAGTGAGTAGCTTTTAAAAAGAGAATGAATTCACTCATTTATGCAGACTGCGACTTTCATGTCTCGTCTTCTTGTTTAGTTTCACGACTCTATTTCCTCTTTTTAGAATAAATGGACTAATTGTGCAGTGGCACATATTATACATTTGAAATTTCTTATGTCGGTGCAAAATAGTTTTGAAGTTATTCTATAACAAATTTAACTACTACAATGTCTCTATTAGGAATGCAATTGTGCAAATTAATATGAATTAAATCTGCATTACATGGGACTTGGATTTATTTATAACAAATGTTGGTGATTGGTCTAAAGACAATATGTGCAAAAACGGTATGCTGTAATACTAAATGTTATAATTAAGATATAACATATTATACGTATGTGCTATAATACAACGTACAACATAATATAATGAGAAATTATTGTTGTACAATTTTTTTTTATTATATTACAGCATATAGTTTACCGTATATGCTATAATACAATCTGTGCGGTCATGCAGCGATTTTTTATTCTTTTTAAATTTAATCGTGCAACCCAATATTTGTTTAGTTTGTTATTTTATTAGTTAAAAATATGCATTAAATCTAATAAAAAAATATAATTACAAGAATAAATTTAACTTCAATATAATACAAAAAAACTCTCAAAGAAATATTCATTGCTAACAACAAAAAAATCAAATAAAAAATGAAGAAGAGAAAAACGAAAAAAGTAAAACTTGTGAAAAGAAGAAAATGAAAGCATGATACAAAAAAATTTGGCATTATTGTTCGAATGGGAAATGTTTTAGTGATACACAAAAGACTTTTGCAGTTACTATGTTAAAAGTATGGATTTATTGTGTTATGTTAATTTTTTTTAAAATAATCGTAATAAATCTTTTTATTACGCTAATAAAATTACAATTTTTTTTTTTACAAATAGCATAAAAAATTGTTTTTATTTTCAACAAAAAAACACATTTAAAAATTAACAATTTCATAATCACCATTTTTTTAAAATTTTCGAAAATACAATTATAAAAAAGAAAACAATATTGAATTACAAAAACTAATATCTGCCAAAAACGGTATCTAAAGACTGTAAATACGGTATGCTGTAAATACGATATGTTGTAAATATGGTAATGATATAAATACGTTATGCTTTAAATACAATATGATATGCTGTAAATACAATGTGCTACATATACGGTATGATGTAAATACGGTATGCTCATATACGATAAGCTGCAAATACAGTTTGCGTAAATACGGTATATAAAGTGCATATACGATATGAATGAATCGGGTTTCGTCTACTACAATAAATTTCAATATCGTATATGCTGTCTATCGTATTTGCAGCTTACCATATATGCGACCTACTGTATTTGCAGCTTACCGTATATACCGATTTTTGCACTTACAAATACCGAGAATGTAGAACACCATACATTCACTTATCAAATTGAATGTAAAAAAAAAAAAAAATTCCAACTTTTTATTTTTTCAACATAAGTATAAAATAAATATTAAAATATATGAAAAACAAAATATAAAACGTATATAAATATGCATGTCGATTTATAATTTTGTGCTCAATTTTCAATTTTTCAATATTGAATTACACAAAATTTAGAAATATAATCTTCAAATTTAACTCAATCTATCAACACTATCAAAAAATATAGACAAAATAGTTTGAATAACCTTATATATTTTTTATTCAAATATGAAATATACAATAATATTTTTCTAAATAACACCATACTGTTGCAATTGTAAAAATAATTTGCAATCATTTTTTATATCATGAAAATATTTCTAGATATTGCTTCAAAAACTTTTCAAAAAATTAAAATTCATACACTAATAAAAATACGATAAATACAAAATTGGTGCAACGTACGTGAGAGTGACTAATATTATTATAAAGATAAATTAATTTATCACTTAAGTTTTTAAAAGATTTTACAAGTTAGATATTTTTGAAATGGGTAATTAGCACAAAACGTCCCTACATTTCGATATTTTGTGGAAAACGTCCATACTTTTCGTTTTTTGACGGATTACACCCTCACCTTTACCTTTTTTTGCTCAAAACGTCCTTCTGTCAACTCTCCGTTAAAATGTTCCGTTAAATCAAAAGGTAATTAGCACAAAAGGTCCCTACTTTTCAATATTATTGTACAAAACGTTCTTACCTTTCATTTTTTGTTATAATTAGCACAAAAGTCCCTACCTTTCAATGTTATTGTGCAAAACGTCACTACCTTTAATTTTTTAGCATCTTCACCCCTACTTTTCACCTTTCATTGCGAAAAAGGTCATTCTCATCCTTTTTTTCAATAAAATGACGATTTTACCCTCCTATTCAAATAAAACAAAAAGAAAAGATGAATAACCAACTACAACCATAGTCCTTAAATTTTTAAAAAATTACAAAGAAATCATAAATTCCCAACTACCATTACTTTCACAACATATCAAGCTGTCAACTATAAATCAACATAATACCACCTTTCTGCCACCATTCCCACCAGACTTTGCCACCATAAATGTGGTTGTTTTGGACAGATTGGTGACCAATACTATGGAGGAGGATATTGGGAAGAGTGAGGTGAGGCTAGTGGTGGTGAAGTCCGATAGGTGTTGTGGTCGAAAGGTAGTGCTATATGGATCTATAGGTGGTGGCTTGGTGGGGTTATGAAAGTGGCAGTAGTGAAAAGCTTAGAATTTATCTGTAATGTTTTGAAAGATTTAGGACTGTGATTACAATTAATTATTTATTTTTCTTTTCTTTTCTTTTTGTTTTATTTGAATAAGAGGGTAAAATCGTCATTTTATTGAAAAATGGATGAGAAGGACCTTTTTCACAATGAAAGGTGAAAGGTAGGGACGTTTTGCACAATAACATTGAAAGATATGGACCTTTTGTGCTAATTATGTCAAAAAATGAAAGGTATGGACGTTTTGCACAATAATATTGAAAGGTAGGGACCTTTTGTGCTAATTATCTTTTGATTTAACGAAACATTTTAACGGAGAGTTGATAACAGGACGTTTTGCGCAAAAAAAAGGTAAAGGTGATGGTGTAATCCCCCCAAAAATGAAAGGTAGGGACGTTTTGTACTAATTACCCTTTTGAAATTGTAAATTTATGTGTGGTACTCGTGAACTTTTCTCATGGTGTCATGATTATTGGGCTCACCATCAGAATCAAGAAGATTTGGACCCGACGGATCTATTGTGTACGATAGACTGATTTCGGGGCAAAAAGGCTATTTTTAGCCCTGTTTGACCCCCATTTTGTGAATGAAAATGAGTGGAATGATATTTTTTTGAAAAATGAGTGATTGTAAAAAAAAGAAAAAAATTTCGATGTACGCATAATATTATTTTATGAAAGATTGTATGGTTGAAAATAAGATAAAATAAAACTTTTAATCAGTATTGAGCCCTAGATGTTATCTCCCAAGCAGAAGCTAAACATTTCTTCTATTCCTCTTCAATTACACACCCCAGAAAAAATGTCGGATTATTTGCCCGAAGAAGTATGGATAGACATTTTCACAAGACTCCAAGTGAAAAGCCTTCTTCGAATCAGGTCAGTTTGCAAGTTTTTCCACCGTATAATCAACAACCCATCTTTCATTTCAGATCACATTACCAGCACAAAGCGCACGCGCATTCCCCTTGTTAGATACTTGACAGGAAGAAAAAGGATAGAGAGAAAAGAACACTACTTGCTTTTACCTGATGACATGGACAATATGCAAGAACTAGACTTCCCTTTCAAGTCTAAGTCTTTCAAACATTTCCGTATAGTGGGCTCGTGCAATGGGTTGATTTGTTTATCTGATAGTAAAGGATCTTATCTTTGTAAAGGGGATTCTGCTTATGGCATTATTCTGTGGAACCCATCTATTAAAAAATACTTGACTCTGCCTAAACCCCTGAGATCCCATGGAGCTTACAGCTTTGTGCTTGGCTTCGGGTTTGATTGTAAAACTGATGATTATAAGGTGGTGAGGATTGTATATTTTAACGGGAATAATAATCCACCTGAGGTTGAGTTGTACACAGTGAAATCTGGGTCCTGGAGAAATTGTAATGCTGGTGCAGCACCTTATGGGATATGGAAATGGGGGTCGTCAGCTTATGTTAATGGGGCTGTGCACTGGATTGGATATAGTCCGCGAACCGAGGAGGTGAATCACGGACAAAGTCGAGATCTGATTGTTTCTTTTGATATAAACAACGAGGTGTTCAAAGAGATGAATCTTCCAGATGATTTGGAGAAATGGGGATTGGAGTTATCTTTGGGGGTGCTAGGGAATAAGCTTGCAGCGATACAGTATCATAGCTGGAAGCAACGGATGTTTTCAGTGTGGGTGATGGAGGAGTATGGTATGGTTGAATCTTGGAGGGAGATGTACGATGTTGATATGATGGGAAAACATATGAAGTTTGTGGGTTTTACAAACAATGGAGACATATTAGTGGAAATAGCCAGTCATAAGCTGGTCTTGTATGATCATAATGATTTGAGGTACATAAATGTTGGAGTTCGTGGTGCTAAGGACTCATTTCACATGGAAACGTACATGGAGAGTTTGGTTTTGCTTGACGGAGAGAGTGCCGTTTCACAATCCAAGGCAATTACCTGTGAAGGTGAAGCTCGGTGATTTTAGACATACTGCTTGATCATCATTTGAGGTTGCAGGCTAACTTTTAACATGCTAGAACCACCACATAAAATTTAAGTAACATATTTTGATTTTATGCACCAGATTATGGGAGAAATTTAAATTTGTCTGGCTCTTGTTTTTTTAAAGTATATTTTGCGAAACTAAGACTGTAACAGTTGAAATGTACATGTTATCTGCCGAAACTCCTTCATGCTCTTGGTATTTGCTATTATAATATCTAGGATTTGTTTTGTGAATGGTTTTTAGTTGTTAAAGCAATTCCATTCGTTCAAGTAACTAGATGTGTTTCCTTGATGAACATGCATTTGTTGAGGAACACATCCCATGTTTCTTCTACACTTTCTTCCGCAGGTATTAGTTGAACATCTGAATAAATTAAAATGACATAATGTCACGATAGAAGTCACTTTGGTGTGCCTATATATCAATTCCAATTACAAAATATGGTTTTTACTCCTGAACGATATGAGATACTCAGCTTTGCATACTACATATCTGTGCTGTGTATTCGCATCTTTAAAAAAAGAATGGAGTGTGGCAAGGGCATAAATTTCTGGCTACACGTGATTGAATTGAATTTCACCTTTTTAATCACTATATTATCTACTTCCAAATCCCACTTATTGAACACTACTTGCTTTTACCATATGACATGGACAATATGCAAGAACTAGATTTCCCCTTCAAGTCTAAATCTAACCCCCATTTCCAAATAGTGGGTTCATGCGATGGCTTGTTTTATTTATCTAATTGTAAAAACTTTAGCACGTCTTGTTTATGGCATTGTTCTTTGGAGTCTCCTGATACCCTGGAAACCGTGAGGAGACATGGAGACTTTAAATTAGTTCTTGGTATCAGTTTTCATTGCAAAACTAATGATTATAGTAGTTCGGATTGCATATGTAAATTGGGCGAAATGCACTGCCTGAGGTTGAGTTATACATTGCAAAATTGGGGTCGTGAAGGAATTTCAATGCTGGACCACCACATCATGAGATTTGGGGGTTGTCATATGCTTTAGTTGAGCTGGTCTGTGCATTGGATTTGATATAGTACCAAAAACTGAGAACGTACAATGTCTGATTGTTTCGTTTATGATAGTAATGATGTATCCAAAGAGTGGAATCTGTCGGCTGATTTGGAAGTTGGAACGATGGTGACCAGAGTTGTCTTTGGCTGTGCTAGGGAAGAAGCTTGCAGGGATACAGTACCATAGCTGGAAGCAATAGATGTTTTCAGTGTGGGTGATGGAGGGGTATGATATGGTTGGATATTGGAGGGAGATGTACCCCTGTTGATTCCGGTGGTAATAGCTAGATGTAAGCAGTAAGCTGGTCTTGAATGATCCTAATGATATGAGGTATACATGCATATTTCAGTTCGTACTGCTAAGGACTCATTTTCACTTGGAAACATAAATGGAGAGTTTGGTTTTGCTCGACAGAGAGAGTACCATTTTGCAATCCGAGGCTCTTACTTGTGAAGGTGATGCTTGGGGATCCTCCTGAATTGCCTGGACTTACATCTTAATCGAGATTAGAGGTGCCAAGTTTAACTTTTAACATATTGGTACCACCATATAAAATTGTTGTAGGTCCTTTTTGAGATACATTCTTAAACAGTGATTTGATATCATTTCAACTACACATTCTTCAATAAAATAATATTACATACAAATTTATAATTTTTTCTTATTTTTTAACTACACATATTTTCCATCAATACATTATTCAAAAATGTATTTTAATGAAAATAATGTTGTTCAAACAAGGGCATAATTAAGTTGCAAATCATATGAATTTGTGAATTTATGCACTGTATTATGGGAAAAATGAGATTTGTGTGGCACTGGTTTCTTTGAAGCATATTTTGGTATCTTTCAAATATATTTTGCGAAACTAGGACTGTTGGTAATGGTGTAATTTATATGTTATATGTTGAGACTCCTTATGTCCTTGGTATTTGCTACATTACTATTATCTAGGATAGAAGTGGCCAATAAAACATTTAACTCCGAAAATGGAGGTGGATAAAAAAATCGTCGAGTTCTTGAAGGGAAAGAAGAAGAAGAAGATTTGTGTGGTGTGGTGGGGTGGGGTGGGGTCGATGATATATTTTATTTTATTTTCTTGTCACAAAAGGGAATTCGTTTTTAATTATTTATTTGGGATTCATTTGTACTTTTTTTTTTGGGTGAAAATTTGGGATTACAATTGAAATTAGTTCTTTATTTTTATTTTTTTTTAGTTTATTTAAATTAGAGAATATATTCGTTGTTTCGCAAGGATTTATTGACACTTCAAAGTTTATATAGGGGAATTTTTGGTCAATTTGAAAAAGGTGGGATATTTGGCAATAGGTCCATATGTTGGGGGTATTGTGCCAATAAGCAGATGGAATAAGATACTTGAAAAAGACAACTTTTCAAATAGTTACGCTTGAACGAAGTCACCTTAATTGAAATCAAGTCAAAGTATAGTTATCCAATTAAACCAAATTTAAATATAAAAAACCAGTATGGAATGATGATCAAATTTGATTTGATCGTGTCCCATGTTATATTTCATCAGCAAAATAATTCAATAAATATTCAGTCTAGAAAGAATTTTCTAAACACATAATAACACTATAATTATACACAAAAAATAAACACAATCTAAGTGTCCATATCATCTCGACGTCACTTTGAGAAGTTTAAGGCTCATTTGGTTTGTATTTCTATTTTCAATTTTCAAGTTTAAGATTACATTATGTTCTTTGTTTTGAGGGTCTATTTTAAGATTAACATAAATGCATTTGGTTTGTTAGTTTAAAAATTTGTTTTTTAAAAATAGAAAACTAGAAAACACGTTTGATTTGAAATTTTGAGAAAAAAATATTTCATGGCATTTTATTCCATAAAATTGAATATTCAGTAAAATGGAATAATATTATGTTAAAACATAATCAAATAATATATATTAAAGTTGGTAAATCTTAAAAATGAAATTCACTACAAAAGTAAAACAAAAACAAATAATAAATTTAGTTGACAAAATATAGGAAATAAAAACAAAAATTAATTATGTAGAATGAGAATTTTTATCTTTGTTCTTTAAATATATTTTTTAGAATATTTATGTAAATAATCATTAAGAACTTGAATTATTTTTATTTTTTATAATTTTTATCTTTTCAGAATTTTATTTTTCAAAATTTTTATTTTTTATTTTTTATAATTTTATTTTCAAGAATTTATTTGTATTAGAAATTTAATTTTTTTAGATTTTATTTTTCAAAATTTTAAATTCTTTATTTTTTTAGAATTTATGAATTTTTTTAATATTAAATTTTTACAATTTTATTTTTTTAAAATTTCATATCTATGTTTTTTATAATTTATAACTTTTAGAATTTTATGTAAATAAATTTCATTTAATCATTTATTTTCCATATTTTGAATAGTTTCAGTGAAACAGTGAAAAAACCAAAAACGTTAAAACTCATTTTGAGTTTTACGTTATAAATTTAACATTGTTTTCGAAAGCACATTTAGAAAATGCTAGACTAAACGAGTTTTGAGTGTTTTCCAAAATTGAAAATGAAAAATAGTTAGAAAACAAGAAGTTAAACGCAACTTTAGTGGCCAAAACTCTTACCGGCTTAATGTATAGTGAACCATCAAAGACGTTCCCCAAAGTATAATGAGCAATTAAAGACGCATTTCTTAGATGGACCATCCCTCTTCTTTGATTGGGCATGATGGTAAGTTAGCTGTGAAATTCATATGTCAAATCAGTTATTCCATTAGAAACATGAAATGAAAATGATCCCTGTAAGTAACGTTTGATACTTTGAGAAGTTTAGCGGTCAAAACTCAACATCTTAAAATGTAGTAAGCAATAAAGAATGTCAACTTAAATTTAGTGATTATTTAAACAATTAACTCCACTTTGTCCTCTTCAAACTATGACTTATAAAAAATATCCTTTTTTTAAAAAGAATTTCCATAAAAGAAATTCAAACGACTAAAAACATTTTCCTACTGGAAAATTTTAAATCGTAAACGGCATACGAAATTTTCTAATCTTCTCGAAAGGATAAATAATGAATATGCTCAAGTTATAGACAAGAAAATGAAGATCGTGGGTTCAAAAGGATCAGAGGAACTGAGGAGCACAAAGAGGAATGGATTCATGTGAATTCAACTAATTGAGGTCCTGTAAAGAAGATTAGACGAAAGAAATCAACAAATTGAGAAAGCCTAGAGGGGATGCTGATTTTGGATGCAAAGGAAATTGACTACTCGTCAACACGATGACAAGCCAAAACTAGGATTTGGGAGCCGCTTGAAGAAAATAGGGAAATCAAGGTCCAGATTGGAATAATAAACATGTCGAGCCGCTTCTCAACTCGGCTTGTATCAATTCATCAAGGACAATTCGGGCTTATTTTGAGATGAGCCATGGATCAGTCGAGCTCACTTTTTTTCTAGTGGAAATTACATACTCACCTACTTTTCAAAATCAATTTTCTAAAATCATGGTGAAGGTTTCAATGTTTAAAAATCAAATATTTTAAATATTAAATATTATAATACAAATTTAATTAACCCTAGTTCATTTTCATTTCCCACTCTTCCTACGTCTCACTGGCTCTCCCAACTCTTCCTCTCTCTTTTCATCGATTTAAGTAGCTGAAGATGGAGTTGCTTCGACCGACACCACACCATAGCACCTGTCGTCATCGGACAAATAGCCGATGGTCAGAATGGTGCGGCTCACCTAATCAACTGTTTTGCTGCCGATGAATGGTATGCTGCAGGGAGAGGACCGACGCCGCTCCTCCACCTATCCCATCTTCTCTCTTGCTAAGTGTCACGGCGTCGCAACTGCAAGATCGGAACAGCTGAACGTTTGCCGCTCACTAGCAGTGTATTAAGGTGGCGGTGGCGTTGGCAATTGTGGGGATTTTTTGGTAGTGGTGTGGCGACGACGGTGACACTGAGTTGGGGATTTATTTTGTAGTGGTTGTGTGGTGTAGAGATGGAAATGGTGTTGGTGGTGTAGAGATGAAAATGGTGTTGGTGCTGTGGCCGGAATCTGCAGCTCCACGATGGTAGTATGGTGGCGGCAGCGGTGACACTGAGTTTAGGGATTTTTTGGTTGTTGTGGTGTGGTGTAGAGATGAAAATGGTGATGGTGCTGTGGCCGGAATCTGCAGCTCCGCGATCTGGTGGGTTTTTAGGTATGCTTTCAATTGGTGGATAAGGGCTGTAATGGTGGTAGTGGTGGTGGTGTTTGGGTGGCGGCGACTTTGTTGGATCTGATGGCGGAGGTTACTTTGAATATGGTGGTGGTTATAGTTTTGTTGGTAGCAACGGTATTGGATATTGTGGGTGGTGAGATAGTGGCGATGGTTATGGTGATATGTTGGTGGTGATGGGTCTATCGAAGTGGTGGTGGATATGGCATGAGGATGTGTTGATTTGAGGTGGTGATGTTGCCGTCGAGAGGTGGCGATGGTGGTAGTTATCGCGGCGACGACGGTGGCGGTGGTGGTCACAAGTGTTGTGGGGTGTTTGTGACCAATTAGTGGGTTGAATGTGACCAATAATTGGTTAATTTATGATAAATGAATAATACGTGACCTAAAAATTGTGTTCGTGACTCATAATTTATTAAATTGTGATCGAAAAATTAATAATGACCAATTAATCTAAAAAATTGCAATGAAAAAATAAGTTGTGACCAATAAAAGTTTTGATTATGTGACTAATGAATAGTCTGTAACCTATAAAAATTTTAATTCGTGACCGAAAAATAATATGTGATCTATAAAATTTTTGATTTGTGACCTAGAAATAAATTGTGACCAATAATTTGATCAGTTGTGATTAAAAATTAATCCGTGACTAATTAATTTTTTGATTTGTGATCGATGAACAAATTGTGACTTACAAAATTTCTGAATTGTGATCGTAAAAAAATTTGTGACATAAAATTTTTTGATTTGTGACCAAAGAATAATAAGTAGCTAATTAAATTATTAATTTGTAACCAAATTATATAGATGTGTGACCTAAATATATTTAATTAATAAAATAATTAATTAACTAATAAATCATAAACAAATATTAATAAAAATATGATTTTTTAAGTTTGAAATTTATTTTCTTAATTTTGAAATATATGATACTTAAATTTTTACTTATGAAATTTTCCTTTTTTTTCTAATGAGCTGGTTCTTTTGGGCTTGTGGTCGGGTTCATTTTTAGGTTGGCTTTATTAAATTCTTTTAATTTTCTTTTTTTTTTTTTCTTGTTTGGGCTTATTTTGTTAATTTTTTCAAAAAATAGAACAATAAGCCGGCTAGGGAACGGTTTGGCTCAAATCAGATCGGATCATGAACTTATGAGCCGATCCACTTTTTCTTTCTTTCTTTTTTTGGACACAAGTTGAGCTCGATCATGAATAAAATTTTTTTATAGATCACAAATAATTTCACGGTCATAAAACAAAAATTTTATAGGTCACAATTTATTCATTGATCACAAATAAAAAAAATAACAGATCACAATTTATATATCGATCACAAATCACAAATTTTATAAGTCACGATTCAAATTTCTA